TCGAACTCACAAACCCTGAGATCATGACCTGAGCCGAAATCAAGAGTCAGTCGCATAACAGACTGAGCCATCCAGGCACCCCTCATCCATGATGTTTTTTTATTTTTTTATTTTTTTGTAATGTTTTATTTAGTTTTGAGAGAGAACATGAGTGAGGATGGGCAGAGAGATGGGGGAACAGAGGATCCAAGGTGGGCTTTGTGCAGAGAGCAGACAGCCCAATGTGGGGCTCAAACTCACAAACCATGAGATCACAACCTGAGCTAAAGTTGGCCACTTAAAGTTGGCAACTTAAAGTTGGCCAATTATGTTAAACTGACTGAGCCATCCAGGTGCTCCTCCGTGATATTTTTTAAATCTAAATCATGTATTTTACAGAAATGGACAAACATAATTAGAATAATTGATTATTGATAATGGATTGAAACCAGGCATTTATTTGCAATTTAAGGTCTTTTTTTTCTCTCTTTGGTGGGTAAAGAAACTAATATAGTTAAAAGAAGCATAGGATGTTTCTTTTTCTTTGATTTTAAATTACTACCGACTGTTTTTTGTAGTTATCAGATTCTTATGCAGAGAAGATAGCCTCAAAAAGCAGATTGTTTGGGGCATCTGTGTAGCTCAAGTCAGTTGAGCGTCTGGCTCTTGATTTTGGCTCAGTTCATGATCCCAGGATTGTGGGATCAAGACCGACATCAGGCTCTTTGCTGAGCGTGGAGCCTGCTTAGGATTCTCCTTCTCTCACTCTCTGTACCCTGTCCCCCACTCACTCTCTAATATAAAAACAAACAAAAAATAAAAATTTTTTAAAAGTGTAATGCCTTTAAAAGATGATCAACTAAATTTACATCTAGTGAATCTTCTAGGTGTTCTGGCCTTCAAATATGAAGGAAAGGTTAATGATCTGCTGTCACAGTATAAAGGTACATTTATGTTTTCGTTGGTGGTGATAATTTTATGTGACTTTATCCACACTTGTGTGTGTTTGAAGTCAGAGCAGTAATTGGCTAGGAACCAAGGAGAAAAAAAACAAAGAGAGCTCTCAACTTTGGTTTTACTGGAAACATGCTTACTTAAGCAGGTTAACTAAAGAGTAAATCTGCACAATGAAGATGAACAGGAATGGTGAGGTTGTAATACATTCAAGTCAAAATTTCTTTTTGATAAATCTAGAGTGGATTTTTTCCCCTAAATTACTGCTTTTTGTTTGTGTGCTTATGTGTAATCACTCCTGAAATTGAGCAATTCCTTTTGACTAACACTGAGAAACCACTGCCCAAAGCTAAATAATTAAGGATGTTGTCATTCTCTGTTTCCAAGAGCTGTTGGACCTCAGAGTAATAGAAGGGTCCAAACTTCTATGTATCATGTTGCTCACATCTCTTCTTGGGTCTTTCCAGTAACTGTGAGTCCTCTTAATTATGTTAAACTGCCTTGGTGCTAAAGAGTAGTGGTGTAGATGCTATCCCATAATGTTTCTGAATTTCTAAGGTGAAAGAAAAAAAAATTGGTATCCTAACTACTTTAAGACAGGGTTAAAATTAACTTTGCTTTGTTGAATGGTGCAGGATGTTGCTGCCAGTAATGTAATTAGGTTTAACCTGAAGAAATGTGCTAAGAACATCAAGGACTTCTGGGTGTTCCTGTGATTTGGAAAGGATGTAGCAAATTATTTATAAATAGATTGCTAGTGTTACACACCAAAGGGCAAATATGGGCCCACTTCATTTTTTGCAGGTTTGTGCAAATTGAGCAATTCTTGTTTTCTGCATTAATCTGTTTCTAGAGGATTGTGATCCTTATTTTAGTAACCTGAGGGATTGGGCATTAGTTATGTCTGTTAAAGCAACAGAATCCAGTGGCTCGAATTACTTTCAAATTAAGAGAAACCTCTGGGTTAGTGTATTTTAGAGTGTTAGGGTTGTTTTTTGGTTTTGTTTGTTTGTTTGTTTTGTTTAGTTGTAACAGTTTAGTTTTTAAATGTAGAAGACTTAGAATTACAGTTGACCTTTGAATGAACGAAGCAGGAGTTTGGGGCATTGACACTCTTGTTCATAGAAAAATCTGTGTATAACTTAACTTCCCCGGAATTTAACTACTAATAGTCTGCTGTTGACTAGAAACCTTACTAATAAAATAAACAGCCAATTAATATATATTTTGTATGTCATATGTATTATATACTATATTCTTATAATAACTTCTGACTTTTTCTGTGCTGCATGGTTCATCTGTGAATTTTTTCAAGTTGCTGCAGCTTCCTGAAATACCTTCCAATATATTTGCTGAAAAAATCTGCACATAAGTGGACTTAGGCAGTTCAGACCCATACTGTTCATACTGGTCACCTGTACAATGTTTCTCCTAAGGTTGATATACCAAATTCCCACAACACCAAAAATATTTTAATTTCTATTATTAATTTTTTATTTTCTATTGTGGAGTGCTTTAGTTTGAAAAGTTGCAGCATCTGTGGAGAATATAAATTCTCAGTGTATATTTCTGTTCCTACGAGATGAATGGAATAGGACAAACAGTATGTGAAACTGAACTTCTTTGACATCCCACCTCTGTGATGTTTATCCATCCCCAATAAAATTTCATTCTTTTTTTTTTTTTTAATGTTTATTTATTTTTGAGAAAGAGAGACAAGAGCGTGAGCAGGGGAAGGGCAGAGAGTGAGGGAGACACAGAATCTGAAGCAGGCTCCGGCTGTCAGCACAGAGCCTGATGCAGGGCTCAAGCCCACGAACTGCGAGATCATGACCTGAGCCTCAGTTGGACACTCAACCAACTGAACCACCCAGGCATCCCTCACAGTCAATTCTTAAAGTATCCCATTCCTTAAATATTCTCTTTAAAAAGTCTCAAAAGGTCTCTTGGTCACATGTTCAGGATTTTACTTGCCATTTGTTCTTGTTGCTAATAGTAAGAGTCCCATTCAGAGTTTCATCACCTATGAGCTGTGTGACCTTGAATGTATTATATAACCACTGTAAGCCTTATTTTCCTCATTAATAAAATGGAGCTTGTAATACCTATTTGGATTAAATGTGATATGTGTGAAGTACTACTAATAGTAAGCACTCAGTAAATGGTAGCTAATATTTTTGCTCTTTTGACATAAGCTGAAATATAAGAGTAAGAATTAGAATACAGAGCGGTGAGCCTGTCTGATGGTAAAATCCTATCATTTGCATCATTGTAATTGCACCTATTCTGGGCAAAGGGTGGGAGATACAAAGAAACACAAGACATGGTTCTTCTGCAGTCAGGATGCTCAGTCTGTTGAAGATATAGGAACTGGTCAATAAAAGGATAACTAAGAGGGGCGCCTGGGTGGCGCAGTCGGTTAAGCGTCCGACTTCAGCCAGGTCACGATCTCGCGGTCCGTGAGTTCGAGCCCCGGGTCAGGCTCTGGGCTGATGGCTCAGAGCCTGGAGCCTGTTTCCGATTCTGTGTCTCCCTCTCTCTGCCCCTCCCCCGTTCATGCTCTGTCTCTCTCTGTCCCAAAAATAAATAAACGTTGAAAAAAAATTTTTTTTTAAAAAAAGGATAACTAAGAAAACAATTTAACAGGTGCTAAGTGTCAGATGAATGGTACAAATGTTAAGTATTCAGAGGACAGAAAGGTATTGTAAATGAGCCAGTTAGCAAAGGCATTACAGTAGGATTTGAGCTGGGGCTCTGACCTTTATTTCTTGCTGTCTTAAATGTCTTGATTTGTATAAACAGAGGTAAAGGATACTTGAGTGGTGAGAGAAAAGGAAGATGAATGTGGTGGATGTTATCACCATATTACAGTAGTTACTTTTCAGTGAAGGACTGCTATTAATGATTTGTGGTTAGCAGAAGAATCCAGAAAGGCTTTTGTATAGACTGATGATTTTCTTTGGGATATTGCTATGAGCATATTTTGGATCTATCATGGGCAGAATTTATCAAGTTTTATTGAGTACCCACTGAGTACACAGCTCAGTAACATTTGCAGACTTTACATAGCTTATTTAGGAAGGCTGCCAATTTTACAAGGCTGTTAATGAATCAGTACCGGTGGCTGGGAGCATAATGTGAAATCCCCACAGGCAGCATAAGAATAGAAATCATTACACTATCTGCTAGTGGAAGCTTTATGGTTTAAAAAGGGGGGAGAGAGAGAAGAGAAAAGAAAAAGAAAAATGCATTCAAGTAATTCAAAGCAAAACCTTTCTCTGCTTCCTCCAGGTGCTTAGCTCTGGATATTATTACATCAGCATCATGTGGTAGGCAAGGTGGTTCCCATGGCACAGAGCGCTTGTAATATTTACAGTAGAGTGAGCTATAAGGGGTGGAGTGTGCTGATAACTATTTGCCCTTGTTCTTATTGGCTTGGTTACCAGTTTAATGGCCTGGTTGCCTATTAATGGCTCAACTTATTTAGTGTTCTGTAAGCAATGTTCAGCTCCTTAGTTTCTAAGTCAGATACCCACCAGGTGCCCCAGTTATTTTTTTTTTTAATATTTGCAGATAATGTACATTTATTATATAAAAAACAGAAAATACTAAAGCACTCCTTTTCCCCCACAAAAAGCATTACGCTCATTCTTATCTCCTAAAGATCTTACTATTAACATCATCCAGGCTTTTTCTATATATGTATATACTTTTAAAAATGGGATTGTCCTCTATCTACTGCTTTGTAATCTGATTTTTTCACTTAGCATATTGCGAACATCCTGCCATTGTCCTCAAACTCATTTCTCTCATATCCTTGTTCAGAGTTGTTTGTTTTCCATAGAACTGATTCACATTCTGTCCTATTGTTGCACATTTTGATTATGTCCAGTTTTTTTTCAGTTATAAACAAAGCCTCACTGAATGAATATCCTTGTGCCTAAATCTTTGCACGTGTCTTATGCAATCTTTGCATAAAAGAACTATCCTAAAGCTCAATTGTGGGATCGCTAGACCAAAGTGTATACCTATTTCTAGGACTTTTGATAGATTGCTAGTTTGCTTACCAGAAATATACCAGTCTCACTGCCACCAGCAGTTTTGGTAATTCATTTTCATAGCACTCCTGAAATGATAAGTGAAATTGAGATAAATAGAATTTTATTCATTAATTCATCTGAACTACTTAGAGACCTAGAAAAACTGATCCTCATTTGCCTTTTTCTATCAGGAAGCTATTTCATACCTAAACACTAATGGAAAATGCTTTAATTTGTGAACTATTTGAGTAGAACTAATAGGAAGATGAAATAATAATGTATTATCAATACATTATTGTTGGTTAGAGGTCAAAATAAACTAATTATCCTGAGCTGTTGTTGAGTATATATGTAGCATTTGCGAATTTTAGTTGGCTCCCCACTTTTTCATTTTATTCTAAAATCATGACCATTTTTGACTTAGAGAATTTTAGACCACCAAAGATAAACTTACAGGAAGCAGCTGGATTTCAGAGAAATCCAGCTTACCTAGAATCCTGCAGCAAATTAATTCAGACCTTGAGCAACATTTCGTTGTTTTCTGTTTAGGAAATGTTAAACAGCGTTGAGATTTCCAGTAGTACCATTTTACTCTAGGGATAGTGAAATTTAAAAAGATGATCAAACACATTAGTTTGTAAACAGTTCTAACTGATGAAGTTAGAATTTCCAGATTCTATCTATAGGAAGCAGTGGATGTATTTCTCAGAGTTGAGGAGGTTAACGTTTTTAGGGAACAAACTGCTAAATTCTTGGAATAAAAGTTTTCATCTTAGAGTCTCTATGAGTATTGAGTAATGGAGAAAGGAGAAAGGTGTATTTCCTAAAGCTTTTAAAGCATCTTACCTTGATGGGGCGCCTGGGTGTTTCAGTCAATGAAGCATCCGGCTTCAGCTCAGGTCATGATCTCAGGGTCCATGGGTGCCGGTCCCACGTTGAACTCAGTGCTGATGGTGTGAAGCCTGCTTGTGATTCATTCTTTCTCTCTCTCTCTCTCTCTCTCTCTCCCTCCCCCTCCCTCTCCCTCTCCCTCTCCCTCTCCCTCTTCCTCTCCCTCTCCCTCTCCCTCTCCCTCTCCCTCTCCCCCCCCACCCCTCCACCCCTCCCCAATTTGTGCCTTCTCTCTCTCTCTCAAAATAAATGAATAAACTTAAAAAAAAAAAAAAGAATCTTAACCTTGAAATGTCACCGGCATATCTATATGGGTGTATATATATATATAGTAACCAAGGGGTCCTCCAGCAGACTTAATGGGGAAAAAAAAAAAAGGAAAGAGAAAGGAATGTTAAGAGTACAGACCACAGTTGCATGCTGGTTTCAGTATTGGTGGTTGCCTGCCTCTCTCTGAAATCCAGCTGCTTCCTTAATGAAGGTGTGGGTTTAAATCACCAGCAGAGAAAATGTTTTTGGGTGAAGTTTCACTTTTTGTAGTGACAGCAGTCCTGGACATGCTGCTGGAACACAGAGGATGAGTTCAGCACCTTCTCTTCAGATCATATCTCTGCCCACAGCTCACCTCTTTTACATAACCAGCCTTTGTTCATGGAGAGTGGACCTCTGTTGATTGGCCTGTCCAACCACTGTCAGAGACCAAAGGTGACTGATAAGGAATCTAAAGGTCAAAATGGACTAGTATAGGCTCAGTCTGGATTTCAGAGGAAAAGGCATGTTTTTGGCCTGCAGACATCAAAAACTGAATTGCAGCCTGGGAAATGTTCAGTTCATCAGCTTCAGCCTTTCCGTTTCAGTCAAGGAAAAACAGTCACCAACTGTCTGTAGTCAGCAGGAGCAGAAATAAACAAAACATTATTTAAAGGGTGTGATTTCATTGAATTGGGTTGTGTTAAGGATATCATTCCAGAGATGATTTCTGTGGTAATGTTACTTGGCTTACTGTGAGATAGCAGATATCAAATCAAAACCAAAGACAATCCACATTATAGGGTCTTTTGTTGGATTTCAGAATGGAAAGTCAATTTGATTAGATTCAGGTATTCCATTTACTCATCACATTTTGGCTCATTATTAGGATGTGATGGAGCACAAAAATAGGAAAGGCATATGGCGTTTGTATTTCTAATTGGGGCTAATGCTTTTTAATTAAATTGGCTTCTAAGAAGTATTTTGCTCACTTCAAAATACTTCAAGTATTATAAATGCATGATCACCAACATGTTTTAAGGTCTCCTTTTTAGTGAATGCCCTTTAAGTTAGCAGTGATTCCTGTATACAGAGTCATTGAGACTAAGCTATTGTTCTTGTCCTCTAGTGGAAAGATTATGGGCAGGACCAGCCACATAATTTGCAGGGCCTAGTGCAGAATGAAAATGTGGTACCACTTGTTCAAAAAGAACTGAGAATTTCAAGACAGCGACAACAGCATTAAACCAAGTACAGGGCCCCTGCGAGCTCCTACCCTGTGCAGCTGCACAGATCACACATCCCTGAAGTTGGCCCTGCGTGTGGGATGTGAAATTAAATAGACCTGTAGTTGATCAGAGCTTTGCTACTTATTCACGTCTTTCTGAATCTCTGTTTTCTCTTCCCATTCTCTGTCTTCCTATTCTATCATTATCTGTTGTGTTCCATCCTCTCACCAAAGTTGGAGAGCCCGCAGCAAGAATTGGGAGTAGGTATACTTCTGCCTGTAATCTATGTGATCACATTCTTGAATAATACAACCTTCTATTTGACTGGTGGAACAAATAAGATTAGGATTTTCTTTAAGGAATGCCAGTTAATTGATTTTAATAAAAACACATTCTGCATTATATTCTAAAAGTGCTTTCATAATTAATGGAACATTTGAATAAAACAATTACACTTTTGAGGCAGTATTTTTCCCTCATTTTATAGATTAGAAAATTAAGCCTTAGGTTAAGAGATTTTCTCAAGGTCAGCCAGCTAGCTGGTAAGTGAAGTTCAAGCCCATCTTTTCTAACTCAGGGCTTTCTCACTACTTCATTCTCCCTCTACAGTTCTGCAAGACCAAGGATAAGGTGACTTGAGATAACTTGCTTTCTCGAGATTGATCTGTTTTACAGAATTTTCTGCCAGTTTTCCAAGAATAACTTCTTAGATACAATCACGAATATTTGCAACACATTTTTACTTCTGTTATTTTCTGTAATACTTGCAGTAACCCTGTGCAGTAATATTTTAGCATCATTTTAAAGGAAAGAGATTGAGATTCAAAGAGATAAGTGACTTGTTCAAGGTTCTATAAACAATAAGTGCAATAGCAGTGACTGAAATCCAAATCTTGTAACTTCATATCCCATGCTTTTGTGCTGTGCCATGGTTGCCTCTGTTTCAAATCTGTACTTAGTAAATATCTTTTCATTCATTTATTGATGACCTATAATGTTTTAGGCACTGGGAATGCATCAGTGATCCAAAAAGACTCAAGTCTCAGCTCTTAGAGCTTACATTCCTTCATGTAAATAAATTATTATTAATAATTAGCTATAACTGTCAACAATAGCCAAATTATGGAAAGAGTCCAAATGTCTATCCACTGATGAATGGATAAAGATGTGGAGTGTGTGTGTGCGTGCGTGCGCACACAATGGAATATTTCTCAGCGATCAAAAAGAATGAAATCTTGCCATTTGCAACAACGTAGATGAAACTAGAGTGTGTTATGCAAGGCAGAAGAAGTCAGGGAAAGACAAAATGATTCACTCGTGTATGGAATTTAAGAAATAAAACAGATGAACATAGGGAAGCGAAGCAAAAATAAGATAAAAACAGGGAGACAAATCATTAGATACTCTAAATACAAAGAACAAACTGAGGGTTGCTGGAGGGGTTTTGGGTGGGGGGGATGGACTAAATGGGCTGTGGGCATTAAGGAGGACACTTGTTGGGATGAGCACTAGGCATTATATGTAAGTGATGAATCACTAAATTGTATTCCTGAAATCATTATTATACTATATGATAACTAACTTGGAATTAAATTAAAAAAATAATAAATTAGCTGTAAAGAAAAAGCAGTGCAATGAGATGAAAAGTAAGCTGGGAGTAGGCGATCCTATTTTAGAAAAAATGGTCAGCAACCTGATAAATCATTGTTTGAGCCACAGACTAAAGTGTAAATATTTGGTGTATTGTATAAATCAATTTCTAGGTATAAAAAAATCACCTAAACAATATGAGGCCACTGCATTTATGAACATAACGGCAATAGAGGAGGATTGTTAACTGTGATAAACATTAACCTTTATAGTAACAGTTACACTTTGCATTTAATCTCCTTTCCCGTGTAACATGGATTACAAAATCATAAGATCAATAAAGTTCAAAACCTAGTCATTTCCTTCATGATGAATCACTTACCATAATAAAGCAGTGTTTAATGTATTAGTGATACTAGATTTCTCACACTCTTCGAAAATAAGTACTGTAGCAGCATGGTACATGGAATAGCATGCTCTGGGTAGCTGTTAAAATTTCTGGAGCATCCATCAGGTTTAAGAAATGTAAAGTCTCATTTGCTGGTCTGATTCAACTTTAATGAATTTCAAAATTTTGTCCAGAATTTTTTATTGTACTGAAATTCTGTTATATCTAGTACTTCAGGGGTTCAGTGAGTGAAGTTTCACCTAATGCTTGGGGATCTTTGTAATTTAAATGTGTTTGTCAGAGAGGGATTTTTCAGAAATGGGGAGAAATGGGGGCAGCATAGTGGGGAGAGATAGAGGATCTTTTCATTCAATTTGCCTGTTGTGTGCTTTAGAATTGAAAGAGTCCAAAGTATTAATAAAAAAAGACCCTTAGAAAGTCCCAAACTTTATCTATTGATGTGTGTTTCCTTTGGTTTCAAAGTTAAATCCAAGCATTGATCACTCAGTGTTTGCCTCTTGTTAAAGTGGAGTTGTTAGCTGCTAAAAGATGAGGGGTAATAGTGGGGAGGCTGTTAATTCTCAGCTGCCCATAGTTTTTTTTAAAGCAATTACCAGGTTCCTTTAATCCAGAGTTTTAGACTAAGAAATTCATGGATACTTTGAAATCACATGCAAAAGTGGGTTTGTATATGATTAATACATTTATTTTTCTGCAGGAGAGGCCATAGCTTTCATCAAA